TGCCGAAACTAATACAAAAGAAACGCGAGTTTCGGAACGCGACATTAAACTCCTCCAACTATGTATTCTGTGCTCCTACGCACACACGCACATTGTTTTGATAGATATGATCTTTGACGTTAGGAACACACCTACATTGCTTAGACAACAGTGAGTGCTGTTAATCTATATATATAAAAATGAATTGCTGTTCGTTAGTCACGCTAAAACTCGATAACGGCTGGACCGATTTGGCTAATTTTGGTCTTGAATTATTTGTGGAAGTCCAGGGAAGGTTTAAAAGGTGAATAAATATGAAAGTTGTTAACTATCTTTCAGATTATTTTTATGTAGATTGATAAATCTTAAGTTCTGTCAAATTAAATTTCTGAACGCAACCATAATATTTGACATTTGTCAACTAAGTTTATTTTATACAAAAATTTAGGTCTTTTATATATCGATTGGGGCAGTACAAAGTCTACCGGGACAGCTAGTATTTAATATATTAATCACTATTAAATGTCAAAATGTTTCATATAGTGCTATACTTCTGATAAAGTCTTTCAAGTGTGTTAATAGAATTCTTGTTTCAATTAGAAACTGTTACAAAATTATCATATAACAAGCTATGTATTGGTATTATAGGAAGATATTAAAAATCTTTTTGATAGAAAAGGTTAGAAATGAACAGGTTATGAAAGGGTAGAAGAACAGAGAGCGCCATGGAAGGAGTCCACATCAGACATGAAGGATTGACTAAAGACGTATTAGAAGCAGAAAAGTAGAATTTAGAAGGACAAAGGTAGACTTAGATTATTGTCTTCAAATAGTTAAGGATGTGAGATGTTCTAGTTTTAGTGAAATGCGAAGATTGGTTCAAGATAGGAAGAAGTGATGGAGGTGTGCGCAGAACCACTCTTCGGACTGAAAGTGACGAAGCTATCAGATATGTTTTCGCTATTTGAGCGTCCTTTCTTAAAAAGATATTTAATCTTAACCTGCCAGAATTGTTTATCGCTCACATACTTAAGATATGCATAAGTCATGTCGATATTTCCTCGATCTTTCCCTAATTGTCCTTTTAAAAGGAGAAAACTCCCTTCAGAAGCTATATCATACTTCTTTCAGGAAATATTTTTGATTTACTTGTATGTTGGATGAACCCTCTGAAAAAAAGCCAAAAGAAAACATCAGATAGAAGAATGGGTGAGCGCTTGAGGGGCTTCAACTTCTTTTTTATGAGGTACGGACGGTAAAAACGATCGAATTTCAATCCCAAACGAACATTTGAATGATTACAGCACTTCTTTTATCGTCGTCGTTCGAAACCGTAGCTCATCAATTATTAGATGAAGCTAAAATAGCTGCTAAGTAAACTTCGGTATATCTATAGATTTGTCTTGAGCTATTACAGTAGACCGTTTCCGGTCCTTTTAAGACAAACTTTGAAGCAATTAGATTCTCATTTATCATCCTTCCTGCCTATTAACTTCACGCTTTATAGACGAGTTCAGTTAATGCTTCAGACGAACATAAAGGACAAAAGGTGGAATAACTAAGGTTACATTGGATTTTATTTTCTTCCTTGTAAAATTTTTGGCTGTAAATTCTAAAAGGTCGTTCGATTTTAATGGCATAAACGAAACGTCCGATAAAGTTGGATAAGAGGATTGAAACTCTTACGATAACGATAAATAAGTATATGAACACATAAGAATATTAATCAATTAGTAGACAAATAAAGATAAATATTCCATGAGAAAATTGTTGAATTGCTCGTCAATATAGCAACGGGCGTCAGATAGTTATGGACAAGGGGGCTTTGTCACTCTGGAGAGTCACGATATTGGTATAAAGGTTATCAAACATAGAAACCTATATAAACTTGCAACCATTGAAAATCTGCGCCCCCCTTTGGGGAAAATTTCTCCCTAATAACAGATACAATATTAGGCAAACTTTGTTAGGTTAGAAGCACGACGCTTGTCACCTAAATATTATAATAAAAAAAAAAGCGAATTTCGAGAATATTTCGTACATATATTGATAAAGTTGGTTGTTGTGGCACCATAGTGGTATGTATCGACGTTGTTATTTTCGTCACCTCTTGTAGCTCAGTGTGTAGAGCACTGGTCCGCAAAACCAAGGGCCTGAGTTCGATTCCCGACGAGGGCGTGACAGAATCAGCAATTTTTCCTTGTTAATTTGGCTACTACAATGTTAATTTCACTTTAAATATTTAACGAGTCTAGTTAGCTTGAACAACAAATACTTATGGTCACTAAGACAACTACAGTATTGAATTTTTAGTCGCAGATGTTAATATGTTGTTGAATATTGATCAACTAGTGTTACCATCATCATAAACAATGTTTCTTTTTAAACCGTACAGCATTTCTTCTGAATGAAAGGGCACATTCATTTAATAGGCTGGTAAATAAAAAGGTAATAAAGTTTAACAAAAAATGCTTGTGTTTGAAATACGTATGCAAATTAACGAACGTAAATCCAAGTTGAAAACGATTTTGTGACACGGAAACCTTACATAATGCTATCCCTTGGGGAACCGCATTTATTATGGTCCCGAGTAAAGCAGAGATTAGCATAAATATTGTTTGTAGTATAAAACTGTGACCTAGTTTAGGACCCTTTCTAAATCATAAGTGCCTACAAACACGTCCAACTTTAGCCGCTGCAATTTGGTATGATATAAGAAAATTAACAAAAATATTTTATGTTCACGATTAATTTAGAAATTCGAAAAAGATTGTTAAAGGTGTATGTTTGGAGTGTGGCGCTGTATGGGTGCGAAACATGGACGGTGGGCGAGGCGAAAAAGAAAAGGTTAGAAGCGTTCGAAATGTAGTGTTAAAGGCGAATGATGATAGAGGAGGTTAGGATTGATGAGGTATTAGAAAGAATAGAACAGAGGACTCTATAAAAGTCAATAAGAAATAGGCAAGATAGGTTGGTAGGACACCTTCTCAGTCATGAAAGTCTAGTCAGACACATATTAGAGGCAGAAACGGGAGTTAGGAGGGGTAAAGGTAGACCTAGATTGGAATACTGTTCGCAAATAGTTAAGGATGTGGAATGTTCTAGTTTTAGAGAAATGCGAAGGTTAGCTCAGGATAGGAAAAAGTAGAGGTACGTGTCCAACCAGTCTTAGGACTACCGACCTTATGTTGATGATGATGATTGAAAACAAACCAATTTGAACTTGTTCAGGAGATATATTATTTTGAATTAACTATGTTCCTACGTTTTAGGCCTTCTTGAAGGATAACTGCATACCTATTTAAGTCGAATACATTACATCCAACCTTCTTTATCTTCTCTTACATAGATAGTATTAATAACTAGAATTAATCTTGTAATTAAGACAGGTAGTTTATTTCTCTGCTATTACACACATCGTGCAATAACGTCCTCGACAAATTGCCAAATAATTATACCAATACTAAAATATAGTTTAAACGTTCAAAATTGGCATAGTTCGAAATAAAACTGTCGCATTTATTTTCTTCTTTCTACTTACTAATATCGTAAACATAGAAAAGAGATGCCAGGTAGGAATTGCAGCGGACACTAATAAAGAAAAGAGCGTAAATATAGAAAAGAGATGCCAGATAGGAATTGCAGCGGACACAAATAAAGAAAAAGGAATAACATTACACCAATTAATGTGTAACAGAAAGAGATGCAGCGAGCAGAATTTAAGCACGTTGCTACCGTAGGACTTTAAAGAAAGTTCGATATTCTCAGGAATTTAGGAAAGCAGAGACGCTTGTTTAAAGATATAATTTCAACCAGGATGTTATAAAGCCGATCCTGATCTTTTGCGTATCTAAGCAACCCTTAACCGCTTACTGTTATTCGGTTATCTCTTTTCTTAACAAGGGCGTGTTCATAACGCAGCAAATGACTACAGTCTTAGAGGAAACAAGCAAGATAGAAGATACCTCCATTCGTACAGATAATTTATTACGAACCTTGTACGCTAAGTTTGATCGTCTCAAGTGTACTGTTAGTTTGACCGCATCTACTAACCACTAACAAAGTGCAAATTCATCCAACCGCAAATACTATTGCAATTAAACCGCGAGTGTCACGAATCTAAACCTAGAACAGCTGATAACTCCCAAGTTAAATTGCCGATGGATAGGTACGGTTGCTGTATCGACGGATTGTTCAAACCTTACAAACGTACCAGCTTCCTTATTCACGTTTCCGTTCCTCTTTTCCCTTGTTTAGAACAAACTCAGGTCTTTCTATGTCGAACTGTAGACGAAATATCGATTGTGCACATACGGAAGTTGAACTTTAAAGAATGTGAGGTATTTCAAAAAGAAAGGTGGTTGCCAACAAAACTTTCAGCATTCCTTTAATGCATTTTTATTCGTTGAATATAAGGTACAAATGTTTCGAATTATTTTAGAATTTAACTGTGTTATAAATATTTAAAATTTTAACACATTTCATAATGCATATACATCGTTTGCGATTAACCGACTATTTCATTAATCAATAATTTGATAAATCGATAATTTTTTAAAGTGCAGATATGATCGATTATCTTAATCGACTTATCAGATAATTTATCCGACCCTGTAATTCAATGTAGTAGATTTAAAAATATATTTTATTATCTTGTACATTATTAAGTATATATAATTCAGAAAATATATATTTCAAATCCACTGAAGTAAAAGGTCTTATGCTGAATCAGTGTTAAATGTCTCCAGATGTACTGGTGGTTGTGGTACTAGCTGTACCCATTTTCATCTCATATTTTTGAACGATTGCGAATATTTCGGATTTTGCCATATGCAAATTATGTTGGTCCAAACACTTTAGCGTCGGAGAAATGCCAGCCAAGAAAGCATCAACAGGATCTGGTGGTGTTAATGTTGCACTTAAATCTTCATTTTTATTGATTAAGTATTTAACAAGGGTTGTTAGAGCTCCTTCTTGGTTCATCTGCCTTCTCAGGGCTCTCCTTTGGGCACCCCATTTCAGTGCACTTTTTCTGTTATGATCCCTTATACTACCTGCCTGCAGGATGCTAGGTTCTGGAATGGTCGTGTCGCTTATAGGGTCAAATATATCGGTGCCATCGATAAGATCGTACGGGATATTGATCTGTTCGGGTTCATCGACGCCCTGTATATTTTCTATTTCCATTTTTATGTTTGATTCATCGCAGAGGTCCCCTAAATCCGAATCAGAAAAATCAGAGTGTTTTTCCTGGTACTCGCCCAACTCGTTTTCGTTATCGTATTCATGCCTTTGCATTTTTCCTTTGCCTCTTCTGTCTTCGATGAATTCCTTCAAGAATGCCAGTTGTTCGGAATATTTGTACTGTTTTATTTGTTTACTTTTTATGCCCGTTTTCGCGGCAGATTTCATCAAAGATTTTCGATAATTGTCGCGTATGTTGTTCCATCTTAATTTACATGTTGATGCTGCAAAATAATTGCGGATTAAAAAACGCACTAGTTTGTTTGGTAAATTAATTTAACTACTTGGTGTTCAGGGGCGCACACAGAATTTCGAGTTGGGGAATTCTAATCTGATTATTTATTAATACGTAGGTCGGACATACCAAATGCCTACTACAATACGTCTTTAAGAATGTTTGGGAGGTATGTCAAAATGCTACGAGACAAGTAAAAATTTGCAAGAACGTTCCTCATTCAATTCTAAAACTCCTGTAAAAATTACAAATCGATTCACTAAACCGTTAAAGCTATTGAAAATTTAAAAAATTGTAATTTTACACGTCATTTTATGGAGAGTCGCTAACCGAACAGATTAAATTTATTTTTATTAACAGAAAAAAAGCTACCAGAAATTTCAAACTTTTGTAATAAGTAACTTGAGCTATGGAGAATCACTTTAGAGTAAGGTTATTCAAATTCACTTAGTGGTTATCGAGGAAAAAATGAAAAATTAGCTTAAATTCTCGTTTTTACTTGATAATATCATGATAATATTTATAATTGTCTGAAATAAATGCAATTTTAAAGTTTTAATTATTATTTAAACATATTAAAAAGTTTTACGCTCATTATTAATAGAGATTGAAACTAAATATTTTTTTGTTTCGAAGTTGAAATCAAGGTATATTCACTGCCAAAAGTCAGTTAAAATTTTTCTATATTATTCGTTATTTCTTATTTTATTCAAAGCTTTTGGTCAAATTCCAAATTTTCTCTCAAACTGTATACTTTCTTTTAGTATAGATAGTATTTATTTACCTCATGATATGCTGCAAAACCTAATTAATCACGAATTTCTAATTTTATGTACTCTTGTCTCCGATTGTACCTCCCAAACATCCTTAAACGTCCAAGGTAGGTACTATTCGATAACAAAGAAGAAGAAGCGGACGTTTAGGGAAGTGATTTGACGTTAGGGTTTAAGCTATTTATTAATGCATTCTCCGGAACCGTAAAACTTTCCTTTGTATGCTGTCGAAGGGGAAAAATCATTGGCGACTTTGAGTATGATTTTCACATTGATCTTCAAGGTTATTTGAAGTCGAGTTTTCATAAAGAGTTGGGAATTAAATGCACTTCTAAATAGACTAAAATTACAGTAATAAGAAATCAATAAACATTAAAAAAATTTCAAACTTTCACAAAATAATACACAGAGAGGACGCGTGGACACGTCGACCTCTATTTTTGGTTGCAGGTTTTTCATGGTAAATTCATGTTTACAGGGTGGCCCAAACATAAGCAACTACCACCGACATTATTTTTTTATGCATGTAACGAAAAAAGGTTCTCCGAACATACAAATGACACATTTCTTTGTCGCATAATATGTAAAGTGTCCTAAACTAGCTGAATTCTCAAAATCTTTTGAATAATTGCATTTATTGAACTTATGATACTTCATTATTTATATGAAAATATGGCTGAAGGCATTTATATGAATTCCCAAAATCATTTCGTATTTCTCAAAAGATATTCCTATGTATGTTCAGTCATGGTCCACTTTAAAATGATACGTTTTTTAACGTTGCTCTAGCAAACACAGTCAGAATGAAACTAAAAGCCTAGGGCAACCATAATCTCTAATCCGACTTAATCCGCCAAACGAGGTTAAATACATAGCGTTCTTTTTCAACTTCATTCGACGCTCGGCTACTTCCTTGACTCGTCCAGGTGTGACAGCTAGATTCTTGTGTAGTAACCATACTTGAAAACTTATCGTTTCATTGTGCAAACAATCCATTTTCAAAGTACAAACAACCCATTTTAAAGTTGGTAGGTAATACTAAAAACAAAAGGTCCTCACTTTTTAAACAGTGATGCATAGTTTTGACCCCAGCAATTGAGAGAACGAGAAATCAGAAATGCCCTTGAAATTGATTAAGAGCAAATTATCCTTAAAGGTGCTTACGATTATATAAAATCTCGCACTTGACTCAAAAATATGGATTCCCATTTAAAACAAATGAGTTGACCTTTATATTACCTCTAAGTTCAAGCTCAAGGTCACATTCGGGAGTAGATATCAATTGATTTCCCTTCGAAAGCATACAATCTTTGTCCAAAAATTTTACAAAATAATGAAATTCAATCAAGACATTTCATTGTTTCAATATAAAAGACACTCTGTATATTGATATCAATGAAACTATTGCTACTTTTCTTTATGATAATCTAATAGAATAATAAAATTGTATCGGTTCTTTAAATCTTTAAGACCTAGCGATAGTGATTTTGACAAATGTTATTATTAGTTATTTTAATTTTTCATGTTTAGATACCTAGTCATAAATTGCATCCTTTTGCAATTCCTATTAACACAATAAGAGCATACTAATCCGGTATGTGTAATATAAAACCGCAAGATAAATGCTTTTAACATTTTTTAAAATAATATTGTACTAGCTGTACCCATTTTCATCTCATATTTTTGAACGATTGCGAATATTTCGGATTTTGCCATATGCAAATTATGTTGGTCCAAACACTTTAGCGTCGGAGAAATGCCAGCCAAGAAAGCATCAACAGGATCTGGTGGTGTTAATGTTGCACTTAAATCTTCATTTTTATTGATTAAGTATTTAACAAGGGTTGTTAGAGCTCCTTCTTGGTTCATCTGCCTTCTCAGGGCTCTCCTTTGGGCACCCCATTTCAGTGCACTTTTTCTGTTATGATCCCTTATACTACCTGCCTGCAGGATGCTAGGTTCTGGAATGGTCGTGTCGCTTATAGGGTCAAATATATCGGTGCCATCGATAAGATCGTACGGGATATTGATCTGTTCGGGTTCATCGACGCCCTGTATATTTTCTATTTCCATTTTTATGTTTGATTCATCGCAGAGGTCCCCTNAAGCACCTCTTGCTATCTCTGTTATCAAAAGGTCACTCCTCTATATTTTTATTTTTACGACTTATTAAAAATAGGAAATAAACGGAATTCTAAAGAGGTAATTAATTAAAGAAATTTAAGTTAAAACTGTTAAATATTTTACATTAAAAATTATTTGGGTCCCCTCAGCACTTTTCGCGTGTGCGCCACTGCGTCCGTATACGTTATGTTCCTATTATACATACCTTCCAAATTCATCTTCTTTCCGATTTCATCCCAAACGCGCAGCTTGTAAGCGTTGTCCATGTATCTTGCATGCGACAAATTATAGAGTACGGGCCGTTGACGTACTAATTCAATAAGTAGTTCGTTATCCATGTTGAAAATGTTTATTTGCTAACAACCGGTGCAATCTGTCGAATAATTACGTAGATCGCGTCGGTCGAATGCATTGCATTCGTTTTGAAATAGTGTTAAAACGAATAGTTAACAGTATCGATTCGCCGTGTAGCCGTTCACGCCTAGTTCGTTATTATTACGCTGCAACAACGGAACCGATACTGAAACGTGTGGGACTGTTGTGCGCCTGAACAAGTCGAGAGTTGCGGCACTCGGTGCGATGCCATTGAACTTTCGTCCGTCGACTGATGGCACGGATATGCATGCAACTTTGAATACCAGCTATCCGTTACCGTGTTGTATGCGAATAATTGTTCATGCGTGTATACCTTGTTAAATAAATAACAACAATTATTCTTTCATTCCTTGTGAACTCCTGACCGCTGATTTCTCGGGGGTCAAATAAAAAAATGCGGTCAAGGGCTACTCAGGCTGCTCAGGCAGTGGCTATTTTGTACCAATGGATATACATACTGAATCTGCTGAAAAGAAAACTGTCTAAACTTGAAATACTTATTCCTGATTATTTTCGTTCAGTTTACACTTATTTTCAATGTTAAAGCTACTTTTCTGAGATTTTTTGAACATGTTCTTTCATTATTGCTTCTAAACTTCTGCCTGTTTGACCTACATAGAATTGCACCGCATTCCTTACTATTAATCTTCTAAACTTTTTTTTTCTTTAAAATACAAAGTTTTTGTTTATTATCAACTTATAATTTTCATTCGGTCGCTTACTGATGGCGATGGTTTTTATTCATAACTCGATAAAGATTTAACGAAGAGACATTCTTAATAAAGTTCCTGAAACATTCAAAAGTATTTTTTTTTAAGTAAAAATATTGAACTGGTCATCATTTTTTCAATTTTTTTACCACTTCCAAGTTAAATTTTTAAATCTCTGGTGTCTGTCTCTTGTATCACTCTTTATTTCTAAGATTTTTTCGGATTTCAATTGTCTACGACAAAATGTTTCTGACAAATACGCCAAGAATTCGTAAATTTGAATAAAAACGAATCAAATTAAGTCACAGGAACTTCAAAGATGATGTATTATTACAAAATATATATGTACCTGGATTTCAGTTGGTGACGAATTTCCACTTTAAGTTTCTTTCTCGGAATAGTTTATCAAATTTAATACTATTGTGTTTGCTTGTGAATCCAAAAAACTAGAGAATTGCTTTTCATCGTTTATATTTTCTCAAACATCACTTTAAATTGCCAAAGTCATAAAACGGATATTAGACTTTTTAGACTAGCTGAAAACTGTAAGTCTATCCCTTTCTATCATGCGTGTAATGGTACACGTCTGTCTTTAGGATTTCATTTGAGAAGATAATTGAATGTTATAGTACTATATGCACGATATGAAACGTATTGAATATAGAATGAAAACTCTTGTAATAATAAAACTAATAAGTTGTCGCTTTGTCATGTCGATAAATTTCGCATTTATATGTATATACGATATATCCCGAAGGGTCCAATCAAATTCTCTTGTTGTGGTAATACGTACTGTTCGTCAGTCCTTCTATCAAAAGGCTCCTAACCCCTAAACGAAATGAAATATCGACTTGAAATTCACACATAATATGTATGGCTTTGTGACAAAAATCATATTTAAAGTTATAAAAAACTTTATTTGAATCAGTCAATTTATATTCAGATAGCAAATCATTTTTTTTTAATTCTGCCTGTGCTTGTACTTCAGAAGGAAGCACAAATGTACATATGTAGCCTTTTAATTTTAGATAGGCTTGAATTAACATTTTGGAGGCGGGGGGTAATCAGCTTTGATTCTTATACGTATTTTTTATTAGGTCCACCATAAAAATGGCTTTATACATAGAAGCTACAACTTAAACACAATATTATTCGTACCGTATACTTAAAGAAAGAGTGCATACATGGGATTTGTAGATTTAGAAAAAGCTTTTGACAGTACTGTATGAAAATAAATAACAAAATTACTGGTATACAAGAAAAGAAACAATAGTAAAAACCAATGTAAAAACAGGAGACGAAAGATTAGATGAAGTGGCTGATTTTAGGTATCTAGGAGGTCAGATAAGTCAGGACGGAAGGAGTTGTAGGGATATAAAGCAGAGGATAGCGCAGGGTCCAGTCGCCTTCAATAAAAAGAAGTCACTCCTATGCTCGCGATCGGTTAATTTAGAAATTCGAAAAAGATTGTTGAGGGTGTATGTATGGAGCGCGGCGCTGTACGTTGCGACAAGGATACCGTGGATAAAGGTCAGAAATGAAGAGGTATTAGAAAGAATAGGAGAACAGATGACTCTATAGAAGTCAATAAGTAATAGGCGAGATAGGTTAGCAGGACACCTTCTCAGGCATAAAGATCTAGTTAGAGACATATAAGGGACTGAAACAGGAGTTAGAAAGGGTAGAGGTAGACCTAGATTAGATTGCTGTTCACAAATAGTTAAGGATGTGGGTTGTTCTAGTTTTAGGAAAATGCGAAGATTAGCTCAGGATAGGAACGAGTGGAGGTGCGTGTCCAACTAATCGTAGGATTGGCGACCTTATGATGATGATGATTTAAACCACGAATACTAAAAGTAGGGGAAGAACGTATGGTATTGTGTCGACCCGCATGTCTCTCGCCACACACCCCATAGGTCTGCAGATGTCTAAGGCAGAGAGCACGTCGTTAGCCTTACTGATGAGTCAGGGCGTGCCCTCGGGACGAAACATCTTTTCTCTCATTTCTGTAGACAACGAGATTTCTACTAAAAAAAGTTGGTCTGTGTTCTGTCGCAGCTGTCTCTGACGCGCTGATGAGATCCAAAAAGATCGAAATCGCGATCCGCGTCTGGCAGTTTCGACAGAATACAGACCACTTCGAATTATTTTATTCGATTATGGTAACGTGCCTACCACGTTGAGGTGAGCTACGCCGGGATTCGTTTCAGCAAGTAGATATCCATATATTTAAATGGACCTTGTTGAAGCATACCTAATCCTAAAATGTAGCACTGTACTACAGATGGCGTTTACAGCGCAATTTGTCGTATTTTCTATTCTCTAAGGATTACTACTAATCGAGGGTTAGCTTCTGATTATGATTCAATACTCGCATATGTCCAGTGTCTTTTATGTACGGATATTTTCCTAATAATCCTGGTACATTCATATTTTCGGTGCTCGACTGCCTCTTTACTTAAATGACTTTTATAGCAACATTAACGTTTTGGTGATGTCATTAAAGAGCACGGTTATTAGGGCGAGCAGTAAATAGGGACGATATGTTCGAGTGGCTTCATATTTCTGTTTATGATCCAATCATGTCTTAATTGACCGGCAGGTGCACGACAATTTTCAAGCCGATTTCGATGAGCGACTTTGCAAACAGAAGGGGTTGTCAGAAGTGTTTTTATTTTCATCAACACAAGGTCATCAGTTCTGAGAGTGGTTGTACACGCACTACCACTTATTCCTTTCCTGAAATAATCTTCGCATTTTTCTAAAATTAGAATATATATCTCTCATCCGGTGCTGCCGAATTGCCTCCCGCAGGTAGTTTTGGTTAAAATATAGATAGTCGAATTCCCTCCCGGGTACTAGACGAGTTCCCTCCCGTTCATATCAGCTCCGATAATTAAGTTAACGACTACTTACCGATTTTATTTATCGAAAATAAATATATATATAGTGCACTTCAGTACTTCAGTAAATTAAAGATAAAATAATTTCAGAAAGAAAACAAATATCAGTTATGAAATGTTTATTTATTTAATTTTAAAATAGTTTTCCACTACCTTAACAAATTCAATGCTTGGAAATTCGTGTGCATCTAGCTTTTTGATGCAATCATCCAGAAAAACTTTATTAGTTTTAGTTTGTCTTGTATTTGACCAATAGAAGGGTAGTCTGATAAAATTATTATTGTTATTGTGGTGTCTATAATATATGAATAATATGAAGATTAATATGTGATGTGAGGCTATATTATTTAAACAACTCTTTATGACTTTATAGCGGCAATTAGCACTCAAGGTCCGCCGCCGTTGGGAGGCAATTGATGTATAATTAGGAGGGAATTCGACATACCGAAAATTTTAATCCTAATTAAAAACAGGTATATGGGAGGGAACTAGGCATTATGCCTCTCATCCACATCCGTAACTATTTGTAGACAGTAATTAAAGCCTTACCCTCTACTCCTCTTAACTCCTGTCTCTACTTCTAATATGTCTCTAACAAGTCCTTGCCTGAGAGGACGTCCTACCAATCTATCTCGTCTATTTTTTTTATTATTTATTATAATAACTGCCCCACAAATTCACTTTTTTGATCATTTTATTCTTTTTTGTTTCAGATTATAAATGGAAACGAGTTGAAGCTTCATAACAACTGACAAATGTAAGTGTTTTTTTTTGTTACCAGCTTTACATTTCAAGTAGGATGCCTGTGTTTAAAAACACCACTTTTCAACAAATGGGGGGATTGTAAGCCACTCAGTGGCATCGCAATGGAAAACATAATATTCATTTTATTCTTCATCATAACCTACCTTCAACGCGATGCATTTATTCTGATGGTGCTTCAACATTATTAACCTTTCCTGAAAATATGTTCTGGAAAGTGCCAAATCAGGCCAATACGGTGGGTGAAGAAGCATCCTTTTATGAAATTATTAATATAACACCTTTCAAGACCCAGAAAAAACTGACGACGACCTTACAGGGGCGATCAGAACCAGAACATGTGAACCCATTTCACCGCAAGATGTTCATTGTTTTGATTGTTTCCTGTCTTGGATTTACAATGATTTATGCATGATTCGTCAAAAGTCATATATTGGCAGAGAAATTCGGTAAAATTACACTCAACATGTCTATAAACCGCTTTTTTTGGTTAACTTATGAGGAAACTCTGCACCCATCTAGTAAATATTCGTCTAAGTTATTTATTAACAGTGCGTTCTTACATGACATGTTAAAGGTAATTCAAAATCCTATAGGTAAGTAATTTTTTATCAGTATCTCTTCTTTTTATCTTTGTAGTTTTACCAAAGAGTCAAAAACTATTGAGGTTGTTCGCAAATAAAGACACATTCAATTAGATCAATAACTTATTAAACAACCCTTGTAGGTACTATAAAAGATTCAAATTGGTAAATAAATACTTCGGAGAATGTTATTAAACCACTAATAACTACTACCAATTCACTTCGAAGAGATCCTAAAATTTAATATTGGAATCGTAACGAAGATAGATGCTTTCTTTAAAATGATTACGTCTTTCGCAAATGAAAATCTTAGATCCGTCGAAGCGAATATTTCTGGCACAGTGCCTTCTTCTTCCTCCTGCTTACAATATAATGAAGTTACGTACATCGAACAATATTCAACTTAACCAAGAAATGAGTATATAATTTCAAGGCAATATTCCCTTTG